GGCAAAACTAAGACCTGTTATTTTCCTCTTGTGCAGGCCAAGAACTGAAGATCGGGACTGTGCTGGGAATAACTTTCGGTGCCTTTTTAATCGGAGTCCTGCTCACCGGGGCCCTTTGGTACATCTACTCCCATACTCGTAAGTAAGGACGCCTCTGAGCCCCCCCATGGTCTTTCTGCTTGAAGCAAGGGGTGGATGTAGAGAATCCTGTGGACCGCCTAAAGTCTGAAATCAGAGTTTGTGACTCCGGTCCTGACCGGTTACACCTTAGATCTCAACCAGATGTTCTCCAGATGTTTTAGAGGCCAGCTCTTAGCATTCCTGGCCGTTGAACATGCTGGGTCGGGACATCTGGATGAGGAAGCCCAAAACATCTAAAGAACCAAGAAGGGTGGGAGGTCATGCCTTCATTATCCCTGATTTTGCTTAATGCTCCAGAATTCCTAGAGAATTATCTGTCTCAGTCCTGCCTGGAGATGATAGGGCTTGGTTTTGGCGCCTTTCTGCCTGGGAAAACATGCCCGTTACTTACCAGCAACACCTCTTCCCCCCACAATCCTTTACTCCCATTGTTCCCAACCATGGGTCACCCGGGTGTTCTTGGACTACAACTCCCAGAAGCCTTCACCACCAGCTGTGCTGGCGGGGATTTCTGGGAGCTGAAGTCCAAGAACATTGGGACGATTCAAGGTTGGGCATCCCTGTTTTACTTTGTTCCTCACCAGTTGCCATCTTGGTCTGTTTCCTGCCCGAACTCAAACGTTATTCTTGAATCTGTGGAAAAGGTCCAAGAAAAGTCATCCATCGTTATCTTATATTTTTTGGCTGGACCTGTCTGGATCTACCCCGAGGGTGTGTGTGTGGAATCAAGAGGGCTGTTTTTGTCTCCCTTGTGAAAAGGGGAAACAATGGGTGAACACTTAACAGCAAATGTGGGGAAAATTGGGATTTATCTCAGCCGGTAGATGCAGAACCAGGAAACGGCACCATCTGTATTTGGTTTGCTTGTCAACTCTTGACTTAGACCAGCCGTGCAGATATCTTTTCACACAGAGAGAGACAGAACCCCCTTTCTCCCCCCTGTCCGCCCCGAATGTTTCCCCTCCGCCTGACTCGTGACGTGTTGTTCCAGGCTCAACAGCCAAGAGGCCCCCGGTGTCGGCCGACCCGCCTGCTTCGGAGAGCGGCAGCACCAACCCCAGCATCGGAAGTACGCAGAGCACTCCATGCTCCACCAGCAGCATGGCATAGCAGCCCCACACACACACACACACACGTGCCCCCACCCCACCCCCAGAAATCCAAGAGGTGGACGGGACTGTCTGTTGATGCTTTCACGGAGAGGGTGGGCCAGAACGACAGATGAGTCCAGCTGCTCGAGACCGACACTCCTTTTATCCAAAGAGGGTGGGTGGGGGAAAAATGTACACAAAACCCAGAAGCCACACCTTCCCACCCCGTCAAGGTGGAACTGCAAAAGTGGTCCTGTTTGTGACTAGCATCTCAAAGGCTGTTGACACCCAAGCGCCCAAGATGTACAGGAAACCAGAACTTGTGAACAGCCGGTTCATCGTTGACATTGTGGCTCATCCAGGTTGACCGGACCCTGGTTCTTCCTTGGAAAGATGGACATGGACAACCCCGTGATGTTGGAAGTCACAAGGCATGTGATCGTTCCAGAAAAGGGGGGTGTGTCTAGCAAGGTCCTAACCGTCTGATCGGTGGCAAATTGAGATGGGTTGGAAAGTCAGTCACTGGTTTGTATTTATGTGTTTCCGTCGGCACCGTCCAAAGTCTGGTTAAGGCAGTTTTAGGATCAGGACTGGCCTTACTTCCAAAAGAGAGACAAATTAAGATTTAGGGAGGATCTCCGTTCCTGCTTATGGCCAGGATCTTAAGCATGATGTGACGCCCTGTAATTTCCCCAGATTCTACACCCTGCTTAGAATTCAGCTCAACGTTTATCTCAGCATCTCCATTTCTCTCCTCTGCTTGATTGAGGTCAATAACCAGAGGTTGGAAAAATTGTAATTTGGGGGGAACTTAACACATTCCAGAATCCTTCAGCCAACATAAGTTGACTCAGCAGTTCTGGAAGCCATCAACCAAAAAAATCTAATTTTTCTGAGCTTTTTTTTCTGAGTGGTCTGTGGGAGAAGGAGGACGTTATGCAACACATAACATGAAAATGTTCCCGAAAGAGGAGGAAAAGTATTGCTGCCCCATCCTCCCACTCCCGGGGGGGGTGGACGGGCAAGACAAATAAGTTGTTGAGAGATCTTTAGGGACAGGAGAGAAGCTGTGTGTTCGGTCTTTACTAATCTCAAAACTCAAGCTAACCAGACTCGGTTTTGAAATACTTATTACTGTACTTATATAAATAGTTATACATAGAATATATTTTGTTATCTGTGTATACGGGACTGTATTGCTATGTCTACTCATGTTTTCTTCTCTCATATTTCATATGGAAGGGGAAGGATTTCTGCCAAGTTGTACTTTTCAAGAAATTACAATGTTGTGACTGGAAATGGGAGAAGTTCACTTTATTTTTTTTATTTTTTGGAGAGGGTCGATTTCCCAAAATTCTTGTGGGTTTCCAGAAAGTGTAGGCTGCAAAAGGGACATAAACGGGTGGGAGGATAACAGGGCATTAATTCCGATGGGAAGCAAAAGGCGGAGTATTTGGGCGAGGATGGAAGGGCTGTGAAGGGTGTAGAGGAAAAGCAACCTCAAATTCACGTGCCCGAGCGATATCCTTTAAAAGGGGCTGAACGGACCCACAGAAGTGCATAGGAATGGTCCTTATGGCAAGATGCTAACCTCGTGATCTCTCCTGAGAGAAGCCAGGCGAAGCTATTGTGCCGAAAACCACCTGAACCTTTTGGCACCTTGAAAGACTACCAGTTTTTCTTAGGAATAAGTTCTTCCAGACCACTGCCAACTTCATCAGGCAACATCAACTGTTTCTCCTTGCTTTTGATGTCATCAATCTACTCTGCGGTGGGAAATGGGGTGCTCAAGGTTTACGTTGTCCCTCTTTCATGGGGTTCAGCGATCAAACCTCCAGAAGCCCACCTTCAAAACTAGAGGCTTGTTAAAACAACTGTTGTGGATCAAATCTGAGAAGGCTATAGTCCACCAGTCCGACCACCACAGTTCCCGTGTCTTGTTTCGAACACACCCTCTAATTTCAAAGGACCCCTCGTTAGCAGGCTTACATGGTGGGCCCCTTCTTTCCCAACGCAATTGGCGTTAAGGGAGACCAACGCCTTGATGACGCCAACTCTGTATTTTGATCCGTGTAAATATTCTTGAGTGAAACCAACTGTAACCTCAGTTATTGTATAAATATATTATTGTGTCGGAGTTGATACTGTTGAGTCGTTCTTCACCAAGTCAACAGTTAAACCCTAGGGAATGGAGATGCTGATTGCCATGAATTTGAGCGCCAGAAGCAAGGTGTACTACCTCGCAGGGTTGCTATGAAGGAAAGGGGGACAGAAGGATAGACTCTGAGCCCCCTTGAGGCTGGAAACAAAGACATTTTTCTCGCTTTGTAAGAAGGAAAGAAACAAAAATATAGAAAGTTAGGCGTCCGACTCGGCCTTTTCTTTCTTTCTGAGCACCCAACTTTTATTATTCAAAAATTCCCAGAAGGTCGCTTTTATAAAGGAACAAAGGGTTACAAATTTTAAAAAATAGCTCCAGGAGTTAATTTACAAATAAAGAGTTCATTTACAAATACAGAAAAATAAAATAAGACCATCGTTCTGAGATAAATTACCAAATTATAAAGTCAGCGTGTCAGCTTCCTGCCCCTTTAGATTGCGAGGTGGCGGTAAGGGCAGAGAGACCTATGTATTGGAAAGCAGTTAAATTATCCTAAAACTGTCAGTTACTATTTATTAAGGCGAAACCCCGAGGATCACCTTAGAGAGAGACATCACCCCTCGAACTCAGAACTGCTAGTTTATCGGTGCCGGATTCCCAGTTTAACCAACTGGTGGCACATCAGAAGTTTCGGACTACAGATTCCATCAGCCCCAGGCAGTACAGATCAATGGTTTCAACGGTACCACAGCCCAGAACATGAATCTTTCTAACAATACAGTATATCTGAGGGGGGGGGAAGGCAAGCAATATATGGATGACGTGAGCAGTAGAGGACAAATCGCAGGGGCTTAGATGTTCCCAGACATGAATTGTTCTGTTCTACGAACGTACAAGAGGTTGTGAAAAGCATAAACACCACATTTTGCCACAAGGCCAGAAGCCTCACAGGAATTTCGCCGCACGGACACCCTCTCTGTTGGTGGGGGTGCCAGGGGAGGAAAGGATGATAACCATTAACGATGGTGGCGATTGTCAAGGATACTTCTCAGAGATGTCCATCTCTAAGATCATCCGGGCTCTGGTGAGCTTTTTGGGGCAGAGGGAGGCAAAGTCGGACCTTCTAGGTGGCCCTGGACTACAACTCCCATCAGTCCTCAGTGGGGTTGATGGGAGTGGCAGTCACAGCAAGATCAGGAGGACCAACTTTTGTGCACACCTGTTTGGGAGTGGCATGCATACCGAAGTATCCCGGAGAATTACCATTTTACAGACAAGCGTTTCTCCGGGAATCATGCAAAATAAAAAATAGTTTAAAAAAGAGGAAACGTGTTTTGGGAAGAAAAGCCAAAACAGCATTTCTTCTGCCCTCTTATTTTACCCCCGAGGGAGATTTAAAAGTTCCCGAGCGTCGTTCTCAACACGCCCGACGTGAGCAGAGGTCGAAACAGGAGAATTTTCAAACAGCAGGACTCTACGGCCGAAGTGGGAAAGGCACCTCTTCCACCCCACAAGGTGCCCTCGTTGAACACAACCCGCAAACGGAAAGCTAGCCCCTCAAGGAAAAGTTAGCAGCATCCTTTCTAGCAGGCAGGTTGCTCTACGTTTTTAGAGCAGAGGACCGGGCCCCGATTCTTACAAACAGCAAGGTTCAAGTTCCTATGCTCCATAATATCCTTCCCCGATTTAGGGCTCCATTTTTGCACCTCGAATCCAGGCTGACGACGCTCTAAAAGAGTATACAGGCGAGAAACCCTTGGGCTCTCTGGGGCCCATCACTGCTGAACCGTTCGCCACGGCGGCTGGGGATGATAGAAGCCGGAGTCAAGGGACACCTGATGGGGAACCCGACTGCCCTTGCTCCTAACAGGAGAAACACTCCAGCAGAGAGAGGAATGCGGAAAGAGAGAGAGAGAGAGACTGAAGCTGAGTTATGAAATGCCTACGAATTCAAGCGAGGTTCTCACTAGGGGGAAAGATTCCTAACGATGGGCCCTGCGATCTTTTTTGATTCGACAGCACCCTCTAGTGGTCAGTGGATCCTACTTGGCGTAGGATCCCCCATCAGAGGGAGGGCAAGACGTTCGCGGATGGGAACCGCTTGGCCACGCCGGCGCTGGGACCCCAAATGTTTTCCATACTCTTTCCGGTTCACCCAGAGGAAAAAAAAAAAAGAGGTGTTTGGATCTCCGTGGGCGGCATCTCGTGAGAAAGCAGGGCTGTCGTATACGTTCCCCTGGCTCGACAAGAATGTCAGTTTCCCCAAAAGGAGGATGGCAAAGCCACCGTCAAAGCCGACGCAGGGAGGCAGACCCTCCATCCCGCACCTCACCCTCTCCGGGGGACACAGAGGAAGCCAGACCTGAAAAGCCAGGCTAGGAGGACTGGGGTACATTTTCAAAAGTCAGGGCGTGCGGGGAGGGAGGGAGGACACACAGGCAAACTGAGATCATCCCCAACACGGAGAGGAAGAGGCAGAAAGAAACCTGAAATCACCACAAACACACATACGCAAAAAAAGCTGGCGATGATGACGGATTCGAGGTCAGCAGGAGCTCAACAGACGGAGAAAAGAAGGCACATTTGAGTTTTGTCCATCAAAGGACGTCGGTTTGTCTCTTGGGCTTTGTTAAAACCAGAGGAGAGATGAGAGGGAGGCCGTGGACAAATTAAGACGGCGCGCTGGATCGGAGCCAAGGGCTGAGAGGGTGGGTGGATGGTTTGGGGCTACTCAGTGCAGGGGGAAATGGGCAAGGAGATCCCAAATCAGCGACCACTGATGCTTTCATCTTGCGGGTGGCCTACATCCCAATCAGCCGGCATCCGGAAGGGATGTATGTTCAAGATCCGACGGGACTCCGTTTTCACCCTGCTGTCTGCCAGGAAATCTGGGCAGAGGCTCAGCCGAGTGGACAAGAGGCAGAGATACACCGTAGGATCCACAACCTCCCATCGGCATCCTGCACTGAGGACTAGCATCATGCCAAGGTCCCCAGCTGCCAGATCGCAAACGCAGCCTCCCGGGCAGACGGCCCGCCACCTACTGGGAAAGAGAGGGATCCAGAAGCTTCAGGACACCCCCCACCAGGTGCAAGCTGCCCGTCACCAAGACCCGGATCGTGGAGGCTTCCCGGAGGGAGACGGCCCCTCGGCTGGCCATGGGGTGCGGGTGGGCGCCCCTGGAGTCCGCCGGCTGGAAGTGCGGGTCCCTGCCCTGGGAGATCCACTGCAAGGCATGGGAGATGCAGGGAAACACCAAGGAATTGGCGTTGAGTAGCGGATGCACGGCGGGGGGCGTGAAGAGCGAAGGGCCGCGGAGCGGGGCCTGCTTCAACCAGCCGGCCACCCCTTCCAGTTCCGCAGAGGGGGAGAGCCAGGGGTCTTGGCCCACTTTCGCCTCCAGCAGGCGGTTCCAGTGACTCTGGTTCTGTAAGCAGCGCGTCAAGACGTTCTCCAAGGTGACGTTGAAGTTCTGCTGGTCTGCAAGGCCGGGGGGGGGGGGAAATAACGATATGAACAACAAGCGGACACAAGAGAAAACCGGTTGAGCAATGCCAAGTTCAGTGTTCACCATGGTTTCATCCTGTTTACAGCCGTCCTGCCACCCTGTGGCAGGGAGTTCCGCTGTTTAACTCTGCGCTGCACGAAGCAGCCAGTCCGATTGATCAGTCCCCATCCTTGAGTTTTGGTGGATGACCCCGAATAGCTGCACTAAAAAACCCCAAGGTTTTTCTCTATCTGCTCCTTTCAGCCCACAGCCTAAATCACACCCCTCTTTATCTGCCTGTTTTGAAGCTAAGCTTCCCCCTCCCCTCGGTCCATCATTCTCACGCTAACCCTGTGAGGCAGGTGCGAGCGTGACTGGCCCACCATCCCTTAGTGCTTTTTAGGGCTCGCTGGAGACACAAACGAATAAACATAACGAATGCTGTATAATAATGAGGATGATCGGCCATCAAGTCCATTCAGAATAACCTGAGGTGGTTTCCCATTTCCTACCTCTAGGGGGCACCCTGGGACCACAGTCCCACCGGCCCAAGGCTACCCAGGCTGGCTCTTCTCCCAGGAGGCCCAGTGGGCGGGATTCGAACCCCCAACCCCTGGCTCCACAGGCAGATGAGCTAAACCACTGAGCTGTCCAGCCAACATAAAACTCATGAAACATTCGTAATTACTGCATCGCCTTGGCTCTCAAACGTAACTAAAAAAAGAGGAAATTAATGTCACAGATATTATCCTATGGCCTATTTTTAGGACGGGTTCCTCGACTCCGCTCGACAACCAACCCACCTGCATTCGCCACCGTGGAGACCTCGGTGTAATTGGGGCAGAAAACGGCATAGTCAAAGTGGCAGGGCTGAAAGCGAAAGAAACACGGATCAGTCCTAAAACATTAACTCAGTTGTGCAGGAAAAAAAATAACAACAACACACAGGGCAAGGCCCTAGCTTCAGAGAGTGTCTACTCTTGTGTAGGGGGAAAGAAATGTATTTTCCAGTACTTGGCTTGTTTTGCAAGTAGAAAGCTAGGATATCAGGGAGACGGGTTTTAAGCTTGATCAGCTACTTTTCTACATGCAGGGAGCTCCTTCTGTTTGTTTATTTACAATATATTTTAACTCGCCTTTTTCTTTAAAAAGGACCCAAGGTGGCCGTTACACACCAGCGGCATTCCATATGAGGGTTTCTTATCCCATGACCCAAAACTCTCCTTATCCAGCGAGCCGAGGGAAACCCACCCACCCTAGTAAGGAACGGTGCCGTTATTTAAGAAATGAGGCCCCAGAAGCTCTCACCAGCAGCAGTTTCAGGAGAGCCGCCGTGTCCCGGTCCCCGGTCACGTTAAAAAGCAGGACTCGGACTTCGGAACCGCTTCAAACAGGAGAAAGAAAGAGGAAAGATTAGCCATCCTCCTCTCCCCTCTGCCACCTCGCCGAAAGACACCTCGCTTGCCCTTTGCGCCTCTTGGGAAGCAGGTAGAGTTTGTTTTAAAAAAGAGAAGCAGAAAACAGCAACAAAATGTTGCAGTGCTTTAAGTTCGTATTAAGTTCCTGCTGCCAACTTTGAATCTTGGGGTTCTCTCCCTCCTGCGTCTGGATTGCATCCTCTTGGCCACAAGGACCAGCCTTTGGGGAACACTGCTGATTGATTGATTGATTGACTGATTGACTGATTGATTGATTGATTGATTGACTCGAGGCCCGCCGCTCCCCGCTCCCCACTCACTCGGCCGGCTTCCCCTCGTTCAGGGCGGCCTGGAGGAACCAGCGCACGCACGCCTGGATGCTGGTCGTGGTGTGGGCGCCGTCGATGTACCACGTCACGGGGCCGTGATGGAGAACCTGGTTACGGCCCAGCCACACCGTCTCCCGGAGGCCTGTGGGTCCAAGACAGAAGAAGGGGGCCTATGTGAGGTCTGGGGGTATCTGCAGAACAAGCCACCCCAGATAAGCCACGTTGACCTCTCCGCCTTCTATTTCTGCCCATTAATTTCCCCGTCTCTTCCCCACCTTGAGGAGCGTCCACACTGTCATCAGAGAACTAACCCATGAGTTACAGTCGTGCCCCGCTGGACGATTACCCCGCTCTACGACGAATCCACTTTAAGTTGACGTTTTTGCGATTACTTTTGTGATTGCAAAACAATGTTTTAAATGTTTTTTTTTCACTGTGCGATGATTGGTTCCCTGCTTCGGGAACCGATTTTCGCTTTACAACAATCAGCAAACAGCTGATTGTCAGGTTTCAAAATGGCTGCCAGCTGAAGAAAATGGCTTCCCACTGTTTTCTAGGATGCTCTCTTTACAGGCACTGAAAATGGACGCCGTATGGAGGATCTTCGCTGGACGAGCAGGTATTCAGCCCACTGGAACACACTGAATGGTTTTCAATGTGTTTCAATTGGTTTTTTATTTCGTTTGACGTTTTCGTTCTACAGCGATTTCGCTGGAATGAATTAACGTCGTCAAGCGAGGCACCACTGTACTTACTGAGCTTGACAGCCAAGTGGGAATTCGAACCCAGGCCTCCCGTATCCTAATGTAACCCCTGCACCGCTGTGGTTCTTGTTTTCCCTCAAATTTTGCAGGAAATCTGCCCCTGTGCAATCGAACGTTCTGCTTTTGTTCCTCTTCTGTATCCACTGCGTCCACCCCCATGTTCTTCTCCTTCAAGGACACCCTCTCTGTGAGGCGTCCTTGGTAGGAACAGCCCGGAAAGGCCCAAGAAATCTTCCCACTCTCTTCTTTCCCAGAACGGGGGAATATTTCGCTACAGCCAAGATCTGTTTCCTGGGATCCACGAACCCATGAGCGGACCCGGACGTTTTCAGGACGCAACAGATACACTGAGCAAAGCTAGGATGGCTTTTTCGGACTACAAATCCCAGCATCCAATACTGGCTGGGGGGTGGGGTCGGCGTCGGCTCGCAACTCTATGATTGAAAAAGGAAAATTTCCAAATTCTGATGCTGAAGGAGGAAAGAGGGAAGAGGAAACAGGAGCAACCCTACCTTGCACCATAGCATTGTCCAGTTTGAATGCGGGGGCCAAGGGTGGGGGTCTCTTCACGGACAGCTCTGGGTTCGGCCAGGGGTCCTTCAGCTCCTCAAGGTCTATCCCAAAAAAAGAGCAATCACCCCCACGAGTAGTTAATGCTTCTCTTTTGCAGCCACCCTAAACGTGCTTTTCTTAAAAGACTATCAACCCTTAGCTGCCATTAAGTACTTAACCATGGTTTGTGGCTGAGCAAAGTTAGCCACCGAACAAACCATGGCTTATTTCCCATATCTGGTTTATTTCTCTCTCATTTCTTTTGACTACGCTTCATCTGGGGAGGGCAAGAGCAAGGAAAACAAGCCAGAGTCCAGCTGCAGTCAGACATCGTAACAAACCAAGATTGAAACCAACCAGGTTCTGTGAGCTAACAACAAACCTTGGCTTCTAATGATGGCTAGCTGACAACAATGGTTGGTTAATAGGAGCAGGTTTGTATGTTACAAGAAGTCAGATTCGCTACAGTCAGACAACGTAACAAACCAGGATTGAAACCAACCAGGTTTTGTAAGCTAAGAACAAACCTTGGCTTCTAATGGTGGCTAGTTGACAACAATGGTTGGTTAATAGGAGGTTTGCATGTTACAAGAAGTCAGATTCGCTACAGTCAGACAACGTAACAAACCAGGATTGAAACCAACCAGGTTTTGTAAGCTAAGAACAAACCTTGGCTTCTAATGGTGGCTAGTTGACAACAATGGTTGGTTAATGGGAGCAGGTTTGCTTATTACAAGAAGTCAGATTCGCTACAGTCAGACAACGTAACAAGCCAGGATTGAAACCAACTGGGTTTTGCAAACTAACAACAAACCTTGGCTTCTAATAGTGGCTAGTTGACAACAAGGGTTGGTTAACAGGAGCTGAATGAGAGGTGAAGTCTCAGGATGTAGGCGGGTGGTCCAGCCAGCTGTTGGGAGGACAGGAGCCACCTCACACGTATTTAACTATTCGCTAACTCGCCCTAGGCGACTACAGCCATCATGAAGGCGAGTGAGTGGGCTGGCAGAGGAGACGAGGCCAACGTTAAGGCGAGCAAACTCTGCAGGCCACGTAGAAGGCTGTGGTGGGCCGTGCGTGGGCCACAGGCAGGCCTGCAAACGAACTCAAGACATGGAGTTCCCGCTTGACGGGGTATCTTACCAAACTCTTCTCGGCTCGTTCCCTCAAAACATCTAAGGGTCTCTCTTAGAGCGGGCTCTACACGGAGATAAAGGGACGCCTGATTAACTTCATGCCTCTCCTTGCAGGTGGTCCAGCCAGCTGTTTGGAGGACAGGAGCCACCTCACACGTATTTAACTATTCGCCAACTCGCCCTAGGCGACTACAGCCATCATGAAGGCGAGTGAGTGGGCTCGCAGAGACGACGAGGCAAACGTTAAGGCTCGCAAACACGGCAGGCCACGTAGAAGGCTGTAGTGGACCGTACGTGGGCCACAGGCAGGCCCACAAATGAACTCAAGACACGGAGTTCCCGCTCGACGGGATATCTTACCAAACTCTTCTCGGCTCGCTCCCTCAAAACATCTAAGGGTCTCTCCGGCTGTGGAACCGTGAACGCTGGCACGCCAGGCTGGAAAAGACGTCAAGGAACGAACGCTTGGAGAACATTTATAAGCACGCAAAAGCTGACTACAACTCCCATGAGCCTCAACAACAGCCAAGGGGGCTAAGGCTCATGGGTGTCGGAATTCCAACCACATCACAAAGGTTTTAGGTCACCCCAGGGTGGGTTGGCAGGATTTGGCGCTTCCTCGGGTAAGGAGGAAATGATGCTGGGGAGTCCGGGTTCTCTCCTAGAACCGCACCGCCTGAGCAGAGCCCGTCAGGGGCCCCGCGTTTACCTTAAAGATCCCCCCTTTCTGCCAGGCAATCTTCTCAATGGTGTCCCCCAGAATGCTGGTGTGGTCGATGCCCAACGAGGAGACGCCACACACCACCGGCTTCCTGCAAAAAGAAAGAGCGGGAGGAAGAGGAGGGCGAAAGGACCGAGAGGGACAACGTGGCTCAAGGACATCGCTGGGCGACATCGCCCATCCTCCCTGACCACGCTGCCCGGAGATGATGGGAGTTGTAAGCCAGCCTCAAATTCCAGCTACAAATTTCAGGAAATTCAGGCCCGGTGTCTGTTTTCTGTCTCCTGAAGGACAGTTTACAACAGCACCCTAAAACGTCAACCACAAATTATCGCACAGAGATGTACCATACCAAAAGCCAACAAATATTTCAAATGCTCCACTTGTTAGACTACTGGTTCAACATTTCTTTCCGCTTCCGTATGTCTGATGAAGTCGGCGTTTCCATGAAAGCTTGCCTTAAAATATAATCATCTCTAAAGTGCCCCCCGTTTCTCTTGTTTTTGTTTCTTTGGATTTTGCCTGTTCTCCAAAGTTTTTGTTACTGGCAGCAAAAGCTTCCAACTCAAACATCCTGCAAGTTTTGGTCCCTTTTGCCTTCGGCACCACCTGCCACTTGAAGGCTGCCCCCAACTTTTTCTCCAAAGTCGGACCTTGGAAGGGGGAGGGGAACCCACGGAGCTTCCCACCCTCAATTTAGCAAGTATGGAGCAGGCACTGAGGCTGGAACACCCCTGCGCTGATCTATCGTGGCAGCTCTTCCTACAAGGCTTCCGCCATTTCCCACTGCTGTTTCCATCATCTGCTCTACCTGATGATGTTGGTGCAGTCATACGCGCCGCCGATGCCAACTTCCAAAATGGCCAGGTCCACCTGGAGAAATGGCAACACAGTGCATCACTCGGGGGGGTGGGGAAACATATGGCCCCGAGGGATGTGCCCCCCACCCTCCCTGGCCACGGTGTCTGGGGACGATGGGAGCTGTTGTCCACCCTGCAAGAGCCCCGTCCCTTGCCACCGATCATCGTCATGAAAAAAGCTACAGAAGCCCATCAGACGGGAACAGGGGCAGAAAAGAACCGCACGTGTGTGTCCGTGTTTCGTCCCTCCACCCATAGACCTAAATGGAATCGCTAGGGCCTTGGGATGAGAGGAGACCTATCAAACCAATGAGATTTACATTTACTTGGCATTCTATGGGTGACTTTTGCCTGGCTGCCGCAGCTGAATTTAGGCCACATTTGGGGGTGATTACAAGAGAAGCTAGAATGGGCACCCTTTCTTTCTGCTGGGATTAGGCGCTCTTTATTTATTGATTTAACGATGTATTTAAAGCTGGGCACTTTTTTAATCTCATTTTTTAATGGAGGTCAACGTTGGGTTTCTGTGGAGGGTTTTTAAAGTCGGATTGCTCTGGGAAACGGCCAAAGTCTTTGTCTGGAAAAGCTGCTGGACCAAACGCTGGGGAAAGACGGGTGCGCACAGGTACCTTTTCCTGCAAAAAGACGTGGAACATCATGATGGTGAGGAAGCGGAAGTAGGCCGGCATGGCAGCGTGGTCCGCATGCTGTGGAGAATCCAGACATGGAAATAATCAGTTACAAGTGGATCACACACCAGCCAGGTCTTTATAAAGGCCACTCTTGTCCAACTCATGCTGACTTAATGCAAAATGGAACCGTTTCCCCGATAAATAACTTTAGCACTGACCGACGCAAACATATCATTCGATTGTCTATCCCATAATGATATCTATTGTCCGACTACTATCGATTGCATAACAATCATATCAACAGTACGAGTTTGTACAAATGATGGTGTAACAGAATTTTAAAAATTTTTTTAAACATTGTTAAAAATTTTAAAAAATTCATTTTTTAAAAACCTGCACGTTCTACTAAAAAAAGAGAGGTGTGTGCTGTTATTTTGGAATCACGGCCTGACATTTGGTTTGCCTCAAAGAAAGGCAGATGTATTGATCACGGTTTGCTGTCTCATCTGAATCAAGAAACAATGGTTAGCCAGTTTTCAGAACAAACCAGGATAGCCAAACCATGGCTTCAAGTTGGTTTCGAGTCAAAGTATAGAAATGACCAAAAATGCATTTTATTCCACCGAACAGATACAGGTCTGTCTTCCTGGACTCCATGCACTTCTTGCTCTACGCCCGCTCCGCCGTCCTTACCTTGGTCTCTTCCAAGCGATTATAGACCTTCCAGAAGTATTTGCTGAACAGCTCTTTGCTGATCGGCACTCCATTGATCCGAATCCTCTCACGCACTTGAACCAGGTGGGGAGAACTTTGAGGAGGAAATAAGCCAGGACAGGAAGGAGATGAGCCCATGAAAGCTTTCAAGACTTTAGCGATCGCATTAAACAGGATCTAGGTTTACTCTTAGGCAGCTGAGGGGGACCAAGATCTCCTTGCAACATCCTTGAGGACGTGACCCAAGAGGAAGACGCTTCTATCCTCGTTCTCCTAAGAGAGCTAAGAGATTTTCGGCATGACCTACCTGTAGAAACCCGTCTTCAAACCATAGTTGCGAAGAATGCTTTCGGTGAAGGCACATGCAGAGCCCTGAGGGAGGGAAGAGAGAGAGCGAGGCTTAACAGAGCCCACCAGACGGGTTTTTCAGCTGGGAATCAAGATCTGAGCCACACACTGCAGGCCAGAGGGCAACTGCGTGGGAAGACACCTTACGGTGCACGAGACAGCCAAGGAAAGGTGCTCTTCCTTGCCCCAGACAGGAGGGAGGAGAACGGGAGCCCCGGCTCATTCTTGCACGTGGCCATTCGTGAAAACGAGGACCGGTTTAGAACGGCTGTTTCGGTGGCATCAGGAAAGGAAAGTATCGAACCTGCAAGGCCAGATCCGGCCCACCGAGGGATCTACAGCTGCTTTCTTTAGGGCGGGCATGAAAGGGGATCGGAGATAAAAGCTCACAGAAAGTGATCAAAGGGTAATTGATCGGAGATAAAAGCTCACTTAAAACCCACCGGGGGAGCCAACCTCTGATTTGCAGCCTGGGAAACGGCTGCAAGGAATGGAGGCTTATGTTTCAGTCAAGGGGCAAAACATTACAACATCAAGACCCGTTGAAAGACAGTTGAAAGACCACTTGCCAATCCGCTTAAACAATCTCTCCAGCCATATAAAGTTCCTTCCTTGTTCACAGGCCCAAAATCATCATCACAAAGATGTTGCCAAATACAGTGGTGCCTCGCTTAACGAGCGCTTCATTTAACGATGAATTCGCTTAGCGATGGCTTTTTTGGAGCAATCTTACCCTCCATTTAACGATGTTCCCTATGGGCGATTTTCGCATAGCAATGTTTGGGACCATGCTTCGCATAGCAATGACAGTTTGGGTCCCCCTGTTTCGCTTAACAATGGTTTTGACAGCCTCCTGTTGGCTGTTTTTGATAGGTTTAAAAATGTTTTAAAAATGTTTAGAATGCTTGAAATCATACGTGCACTTAATAAACCCTTTGTTAAACTAATTGGCTTTGTTCCAACTCTTTTTCAATTTGTTGTAATTTTTCCCCCCATTGAGATGCATTGAATAGGTTTCAATGCATTTCAATTGGGGAACCGCGTTTCACTTAGCGATGTTTCCTATGGCGATTTTCACTTAAGGATGGCAATCCGTTCCTATTGGAACGGATTATCCGGTTTTCAATGCATTTCTATGGGAAACCGTGTTTCGCTTAGCGATGTTTTCCCATAGCGATGTATTTTTTGGAACCAATTAACATCGCTAAGCGAGGCACCACTGTACGTCTCTCTCTCACACACACACATACAAAAACACCATTATTTCTCTCCACATCCTGTTTATCTCACCTTGCCCTTTGTCCCAGTGACGTGGATAATGTTCAGTTGATCGAGGTCTTTAACCTGCCGGGCCAGGGGGGAAAAAAAGGGAAAGTTCATGGTTATCTTTGGGGGGGGGCACTTTCCCCTTCTCCCTCCCCATGAGTGCAAAACCACAGGCGACAAAAAGACAAAACAGATTTTACTGTTTGAAAGGAGGGAAAACGAGGAGGGGGTCAGTTTTGGGGAGCAGAGTTACCCCCCCTCACCTTCAAACCACTTCGCTCCAGGAACCCCTCCATCGCTGCCAACTGGGCCTCGGGGTCCCCCCCTCTCTCGCGCTTCACCTGCTCCAGGTAGCTGGCATTGGTCTGAAGTGTATTGAGGGTCCGGATGGCATCCTATAAAATGCAACCAAAGATATGCAGAGAGAGAGAGAGAGAGAGAGAGAGAGGATGGTCACCATCTAAAAATTATGAGAAACCGGAAAGACAAGGACTCCGAAGCAACATCCTTAGTTTCTCAGAGTTGGGGAAGTCACTTTTCAGAAGAGATTTTATCAGGTCAAGAAAATACTCTATGGCTGCAGCATTCTTTAAAATCACCGTGCCACTTTAAATCACCAGGGTTTCTCCTCTGATTATAGGCCTGCTTTTTATTCCCATTTTGGGGTGAAAAAACGTAAGATCGGCAACCGCTTGCCCTTTTTCCCAAAACCAGGTATTCAAAAATACCTCCTATCGGCTTAAAAGAGAACCGTTCCCCATAACCCCGGTACGGCACATCTGGATCCCATCCTCACCCCCGTTGTGGCCCATCCTTGCTTCTCCATTCCTTCCTCACCTCTACACCCCACCTCCCAAATTCCCAAGGGGAACCTGAAATCCCAGAGGAGGCTGTCCCGAGTTCCAGATTCTCACTGCGCATTCCCGGAAAGGGGGACACGGGGAAAGGGAAACTCAGTTTAGGACAGCCTCTGTCTCGGCGGCTCCTCAATTTCTCCATCCATGGCCAGAGCGAACGGGTGACGGGGCTCTCCGAGAGCGCCTGCACCCACAGGGCTCCGTCTCAAGAGGAACGACCCTCCTGGGGTCTGCTAAACATTACCGGGGTCCCCCAGTCCTGGAGCTGGCCCTCATGCCTGTGGGACAGAAGGTGAGCGGGGTTCCCCACTCGCTGGAGAAGGCGGCTAGGATGGAGAATAAGAGAGATGAGGAAGAAGAACTACGTGGGGGACTCCGGGAGGATCAAGACCCCGAGGGACGAGCCCCATGGGATGATGATCGGGAGGACGAGACCGTGCCCTGGCTGGACGGTTCGACAGGGCAGACCATGAGAGACTGGGTCCCTACTGATTTGCCGCGACCATGGGACAATAGTTATGGCCACCCGTTCTTCTTAGAAGATTGGAGACCCTTTCCGGACCCGTTGGCAGAAGGAGAAAAGACTCAGAATCATGTCACGGACACTTGCTTTAAATGCACCAAGAAATCTTTCACCGGTTTTGAAGCAACGAAAATCTACTGATTTTTTTTTCTAACTGAAAGAAGAGTCTAAAACTGAACCCTCACAATGCCTTGGACAAATAAATACTGCAGAGCAGCAGCCACTCACCCCCCCCTCCAGCTGCCCCATGGCAAACAGAGCCTCCGGTGAGGAAATATATTTGCAAAGTTTCGTTTGTATGTTTGGGGGGGCATGCGCTCGTCAAATCGGCCCTGACTTATGTCCAGAAGGTCCTGTCCTGGACGGTCCTGCTCAACTCTTGTAAACACAAACCCTGTGGCTTCCTTGAGGGAGACTGTCCATCTCACATTTGATCTTCCTCTTTTCCTGCTGCCTTCCACTTTTCCCAGCGTTATTGTCTTTTCCAGAGAATCCTGCCTTCTCAGGTTGTACCCAAAGGAGGACAGCTTCAGTTTCAACATTTTTGCCTGCCTGATTTTCTTTGAGCTATCTCCCACCTTCACCAAGCAAATAATGAACTTCCCAACAAAATGGCATAGTCTCCTGCCCTGGCACAGCCACCTGGGTGGGGAGTGAATCTGGGCGATCTGTACTCCACAAAATGTAACTTTTCTTGGTGAGTCGCCACCGCCGTGCGATGAACTTCCAGCAGCCCCACTGAAGTAAATTTCTGCACACCCAGAATTTGCCCCCTCCTACATTTCCCAGTCTTAGTGCTGTCCAGTGGTGAAGACTACAACTCCCATTATCCCCAGCCTGCCTGGCAGAGACGACCTCAGGGACGCAAGGAGGCTCCCGAACACAGAGTACAAGAAAGCAATGTAAACGGAGAAGGTACAGGAAGCGGACTTAAAATAGGCGTCTTGAGCTACGCCGCAGCATGAAACTTGGTTTCTATAATTAAGCGCCAGCCTCGTTGGCCTGTCAAGAGGAATGCTGTATTGCTTGGCTCCGGGATCTGTCCGTACTGTACGGATGCCGAGCTCCCTAAACAGAACAGGGAATCCCATGGCCGGGGATGCCTGCAACCCTCCTCACGGATCAGGACTCTCCCTGCACGTTTCCAAATAAGTCCAAGAAAGCTATGGGTGAAAACAGAAAAAGTCTTTTGTTCTTGGCCATTTTTTGACGTTCCGTGAATTAAAGACGCACACGATGAGGGCAGAGTTGGGGGTTACATGTTCTGGATGCTTAGCTCCGACAAGAATTGTATCTTGTTGGACCCTTTGCAGTTGCTACACTGCCTTCAAGGGCTTCCCCCGCAGTAAGGCATATTGCAGTAGTCAAGACCAGAGGTCCCCAAAAGGAGATGTTGACTTCCACTAAGCATCTAGAGTTGGTCAAGGTGATTCCTGGAGCTTTAAAGTGGGGGTCTCAAGACGAGGAAACCAATGCCATCCTGCCTCTTCCGAAGGAGTCCAACCCTCGCCAGCGTCAGTGGCGTGCCTGCTTCTGCACCAGGCCTTCCTTGCCTAACAATGCAACACTTCCGACTAATCTGGATTAAGGTTCAACTTCAGGAGGGTAATATTTAGCTAGTCTCTGATAGGGAGGAAACCTCTCCCGCTCGTAAGCGTTGAGAGTAAGTCTCTGATAGGGAGGAAACCTCTCCCGCGGACCCGCTCGTAAGTGTTGAGAGCGGAAAGGCAAATACGCACAACATGCCAGGCCATCAAATCCGCCGAACGATAGGAATTCTCCAAAACGAGAGTGTAGGAAAGTTTTCATGGGAATTCTGGGCATTGTAGTCCCGCAAACGTCACTCTTCCGGGCGCTGTTCAACACTCACCTCCATCTCGACAGCTCAGTCTTCACAGTTTTACAGGGGGGAGAAATCTGCTTAAACTGAAGGGGGGAGCTCTGCTTTTTAACGGCAAAAAACCCATGCCAGGCACGTGAAAATCCAGAACACAAGGCATGAATGGGAAATGCTTGCAGGGAGATCTGATTTACATGTGACTCTGCCGTATTTCCTGCTCCCACATTATTAGATTAGGCACAAAAATTATACATCTGCAGAACCTCAAGGCCGGGGAACGACGATAACATAAAACAAGCGCCAAAACGCAACGGCTCTATTGCAAAGGGTAACGATAATCCTTCTGTGGGAGCTCTGCTTACCACTACAAATCCCACGTTGCACCGCATTCCCTTCCCATCCTCAGCAGTCTGGGGATCTCGTTCTGCGGTAAGTGAATCTACGTGAACGGAGAGCAACCCAACAGTGTAAAAATGGATGTCCTAAATCAATAACTATGGGAAAGCCTCTTCCAAAGCAGGGCCCTGTATTATTGTAAACCAAGACTGGGGACCTGCCGCCTAAGTTTTGGACTACAAGTCCCATCAACCACCACCTAGCCAGTTCCTGGGGATGATGGGCACAGCAGCCCCTCAACATTTAGAGGGCTCTATATTCTAAATAAAGCGTAGATCCATTGACTCAGCTGCTGCGTGGTAAGCTGATCCTCCAATACCACTGTGGCACAGCAGGCAGCGTGTCAAACGAGTACTCCCGAGTACATGTTATGCGCCGTTACATTAATCCTAGTTGACAGTGACACTAGTAAGGTATCCGAGGTATGTGATAAATTTAAGGGGTGGGGTTTTCCCAGTAACTCCACCCTCCCACGTGAGTTCCCACGACTGAGCAAGGATTCGAACCCAGGTCTCTAAAGTGTATTGTTCTGTCTCCGACCCCCCCTCCTGGATCTTGAGGGTTCAGGGAGGCGTGGGTTCGAATCCCCCCACTTGGCCAAGCCAACTCATGAAGTTCTGCTGGTCATCATGCGGATATCTCGCATTCCTGGCAACCCCTGTCGGGGTCGTCAAGGGGGCACAACCACAGAACCTGACCCCTAAGTAAATCCCGTGCAATCAATGGGATTGCTCAGGCTGGCGTGGGAACCGCCTCTTTTGCAAAATATCAATGACAGTCAATAAAGAGTGCACAAAATAATTAAGGTCCGATTCTGTCCCAAAGGTTGCGATCCTCCGCAAGCCCCCCTGGCTTGGCTTCCCAGGGAGTCTGCGATTTCGCACGCACGCAGGGAACCCCCCCGACCCACCCCGCCTGCCCGATCCTGCCTTCCACGTGGGTCTCCGGGGCTGATGCAACCTCGGGAGGCTTTTTTTTCCCCCTCCCGCGGAAGCGGCCCTGCTCACCTGGTACTCCATCCTGG